GCTCACACTGACAAAGTGCTATGTTGGGCTTAGTGAAAGTCAATAAGAAGACCTCATGGCCCACAGATGTCGCAGTCAAGCCAAATGGTGGCAAAATACACTGTTATCTCTGCTTATCATAAACGGCCTGTGATTGAGACATTGTAATCTATCACCTGAGATGTGGCCTGAGAAACACGGATCGTAACAACAAATGCCCAAAGAAATGATTCAACTAATTTTAACTTCATAACAGAGAGTCTAACAATCCAGTTAGATTGAGGTTGACTGAAGGAGGGCATCGCTGACAGCCACTGTATAACCTGAACTATAAAGTCCTGGTCGGAGAATTTGACTGCTGCTGCTTTCAGGCGTGCTCTGACTGACAGGTGCTGAGACAGATCATTAGCACCCTGTCCTGACATATTTGTGTGACAGGACCCATCAAATGACACCCACTGCAAGTCTAAGGAGGTTGGTTACTTAACATACAATTACCTTAATATGGGGAGACAAATTATGCCCATCCGTTTCTAAGTAAATCAACAACGTGGCAATGTGAACAAAGGAGCCAGTGCCCTGGGTTGTTAAATATAACAATTGACTTTACATTAAAGCTTTTAATTAGCCCGAAGAGCCTGACCCAATTGATTAATGTGTAAATATACAAACTGTGACCTTCTACAAGTGATTAACTGCTTCTTGTTTTAATTTTTGTCGCAGACAGGCAAAAACTGAACGAGAAAGTTTTTTTGGCAGCTGCTCTCCATTCATCCCAGAAGGAACCAGAGGCTCCCCTCCTACCAGACAAAGCAAAGAACAGCTGCCTGATCGATACCCGACAAAGCCTTCAAGGTTAGAGCAGTCAAAAGATTGTTAACTAGCTATTTTATTTGCCAGACATTTATATCATTGTGTATGGTTCAGTGCACCCCTTCAGTGCAGGCCATGCTGCACACCTGTGCTTGGAACACTATCAGGGCCTCTTCACTCAAAAGAAGGCAAAGGGGAAAAAATGACACCACGGCACAGCGTTAGACAAAACACTCAAGAGAGGTGTTTGCCATTTTTTTCTGCTATATTTACATCATTAATATTCATGTCATCACAGTTTGCATCACCATCAACAGCTCATTTGAAATCTTACCCTCAAAATAGCTGACTGGCTATCGGGATAAAGATTTAGCAAAAAAAAAAAAAAAAATCAAATCAATGTGTGTGTTTTAGCCTGAGTGCAGTGAGCAGGTGTGTGCCGGTGGCAGTCGGGATGGGATGGGCCTGTATGTGAGCATTCCGGCATATGCTTGTGTATTTATGTTTGTGCGAATACGAGTGTTGGTGTACCATGCATCCCAGCCGGTAACACATGGCTTTGCTGCCACCACTCTGGCTCCTGTTGCGAGTGTCCCTGCAGGCTGGCAGAAGAGGGGAGACCCTCTCTGTGGCTCACCCAGGCAGAGAGGGGCTTCCTGCACATCCTTTGTCACACCATTTGGGCCCTTGTGTCTGTGGCCGCCCTACTCCGGACCCACTTGGCAGCTCACCCTGCAGACGGACATCTGCTCTTTCCAACCTCCTGGTGAATAGTGAAAACAACAACAACCAACAGACCCTGCTCTCTTACACTCCCTGCTCTGCATACTTTACACTTGCACAGTGCCTGTTAAGACAGTAACTACTGTTGATGTTTGTAGCAGCAAAAAAGTGACATCTATCTATCTATTATAATATAACAGCACACTAATCTGTAATTGCTGTCAATTAATAAAAGAACTGTAATAATATAACATATACATTTCTATTTAAAAAAAAATAACTGTGCAGAAAAATAGAGTAATTATGATTATATGGTGCCAGAGCCACAGTGCTCCATTAATTGCTGAGGAAAAGCCACAAGTGATTACCTTCACATTTTCCTCCAGAAATATCTTTGGCCTCCAGATGATCGAGTTGCCTTGTAAATCCCCACATCGCGTATAGTTCTGCATCTCTGGCTCGACTCTTTTCTCCCGGTTCTCTAAGCGGAGTGATTCTGGAGCACACAATATTGAACGCACTTTGTTCGTGCTCAGTGGCCCAGAATAACTCGGTCATTATGGTAGCGAAAGGGACAGGTTTTGAGTTTGATTTCATGACGGTAATATAGCCCATGTGTGTAGGAGAAGAAAGCCTACAATGGGGACATCTGTTCAATGCGGCTTACAGTTACAGCCGTGCGATAAGGACAACCTGTGCACGCCAGATGAACTAGGACCGACCCTCTAGATGCTGAACGCAACAGGCAACAAAAGATTTTTTTTTTTTTGGAGAAGTAGGGCCCTAAGAATAAATTAGACAATCGGATGTTGAAGTGCGCATAGATCAAATATCTCTTGTACATCTGTGGCTTCCGCAGCAAGAGGTCGAGGAGTTATCACACTGACCTCTGACACCAGTCCTGCTGGTATGATCACTTGGTAATTTGTCACCAGAGGCCAACGTGTCCCCTGTAGCTGGATCCCCATGCCTTACACTGCAAATGCATAAAATCACTATTGTGCATAACGCTATGAATACAAATCCCCACTAAGGGAAAGAAGAAAGGGGAAAACCAGCTTCACAGCTGTTTGCTTCATCAACGAAACCTCAAATTATTTGTAAAGAATAATGTGCATGTTGATCTGTTCGAAGTTTAAGTGCAAGTAGAGGAAACGGGCTTTGAGGGAAACATTTAATTCCTAATTGAATTGCCAGTGTAACATTTACTTTGGCACGGTCTCCGGGCACAGCGGCAGCAGGAGATGCGTTTCTCTCTGCTGAGAGCAAACGTCGAGGGTCAATCAATGCGGTGCGGAGCGGGAGCAGCGCGGTATGTAGGCTTCCTTCTCCTTCCTTCTCCTTCCTTCTCCTTCTTTCTCCTTCCTTTGTCACATTCTGCTCGCATTTAAACCCTGTTACATAATGTCCGCAGCTTCTTATGATTTTCGATGGCGTGATTGATTAGTTTGAGTAGTAGTATGAGCGGCAAACAGATCGATACAGTTTCCTTCTTATCTCCAACGTCAATAAGTCAAATGGATGTGTGTGTGTGTGTGTGTGTGTCTGTTCTTTTTTCCCAGATTATCTCAAATCTGTCCTTGGTTATATACAAGTGTATGGCTTGTTTTTCTAAAATAGCCTAATTAAATCTTTATACTAAAGGTGTTAGTTTCACAGCATATTAAAGGATAAAATACAGATATATGTTGACCAGGTAATACATGTCAGCAATTTGTGTAAAGTGCCTCTAAATCGCGTACTGGCAACTAAATAACGCGCACGCTGTAAGAATAATAATAATAAAGATAACTGTATGTACAACGTTACTGCACCTATTTCGGAGTAAAAAAAAAAACAATGAGAAACTATGAATAAATTTGTCCGCTTCAGTTTTTTCACCCCCTTCATTTTTTTAACAGCTGAAGGTAAAGTGGTGTAAATTAATCCAAAAAGCTGTTGTCCGATCCTAGAAACACAAGAATTAATCAGATAGTCCATCTATCAAGCTGTGTAATAAAGAAACCGACATGGGTTAGGCAGATGATGTGATGAACAATCCCTGGTCGTTTTAATTAACTTTTCCCTGTCCTGTAATGACCAAGCTGGTCAACAGACCCGGTCAATAAGCATGTTAATATCAAACAAATAAAACTGCGGATGATTAAAAACCTCCTGAGTTATTAAATTTGAAATTCAAATGAAATTTATGCTTCTAGTGCCCACTGCATGCTAATAGCGCCCACAGAGAGCCAGGGTGCAACACGTTTTGCCTACAAGTACATAAGTTATTATGTAACAGGAGCCTTCTCTATAGATTTAACAAAATGTCAGTGGGAAAAGTGGTGCACGGACTCAACATAACAACAGTATTATTATAGTTCCATTGCCCCAGAGTGCAATCACTTTACTAGATGATCCCTGCTGACCTGCGGTGACAACAATTGTCTATATTGCCAATAACCCATAAAAATCTACATTATTTAAATTTTGTAATTTTGAAGTAGAAACATTTCTAAAGTCAACGACATCGAGCCCTTATCATCTTCTTCTTCACCATCTATTATTTTAGCCGAACATAGCGCGTAATAAAATGAATAATCCACCTCCGGAATGCACCATCTACTAGTTTTAATCAAAACTGTCAAGATAATTGAACACAATTACAGTAATGTGAAAGTCAGAGACAGTGTAATATAGGTCCGCCACCAGAACAATGCAGCCTTTATGTCTTGTGTAATAGTTTGTGTATATTAACTCTTAGAAAGTTAAAACATGCAAACTGCTGAGGGGTAAATTATGCGAAAAGCCAGAATACGTTTCTGAGGAGGACAGTTTAAGCAGCACTGTACAAATACACACAAAACACGCTACGGAGGAGGTGGCACTGACTCACGTTACTCGTGTTTAGCCTATATGTTTATATTTGAGGAAAGGAGCAGGTTTTCAGGTTGAGATCATTTATAGTAAGGAGCATTATGGGAAAATAACTTTTAATGCAGTTTACTTTTATTCCCTGCACCCTGGCGGCTGTTTTGCTTGTATTTTACCAACCTTTTGTCATTTAACACCAGCTACATCACCAGGTCATCACATCCCTCTTCCCTTAAATTTATGGAATGCAGTGATGTTCTGTAAAATTTCAATAAGTGGCCCCCTAATTCCTCCTTCCTAATTCACTCTCATTTAACTTTACCTTCCTTCCGCTGTCTTTTATTATGGAGGGGGCGGTGGGGGTGGAGGAAGGTGGAGAGCTGTCTGGCGCTCTATTGATGACCTCACGGTAGTGTGTGGCGGTGCGGCGGGACGGGCGCGCTGATTGGTCGCCCGTGGCACAGCGGCACTTCAAAGCCGGAGAGGAGCCTACAATTGTGGAAGAATGGGCGGAACACATCATTGTATTGCACACCTCTAAAAAAACTGTGCTCTGATTCATAAATATAAAAAGATCCTCTGAGGAGGGCAGTGTTTTTGTGTGATGGCAACTTCACTTCTAGGGGTGAGTCTAAAGGACTTTCTTACTGGTTTAATTAGTTCTTGTCATTGTCCGGCGGAGGGGGATTAAACTTGCAGCGGTCGCAAAGTACCAGGAAAGCCAGTGCGTTGGTTATATTTTCAGGGAGCGCTTCGTTTGAGAAAGCTGGGGCTCTGTAGGCAGCATATAAGTTTGTACTGGTGCTCAAGACGCATGTTGCCCTCGGTGTCCTGTTTGGCATGCATGTGTAAACGCTGTGTGTCGCATTTCAGTTGTGTGCCACTTTGCGTTCGTTCAGGTAGGACGTGATAATCTGCTGTGTTGGTTTCCGAACTTTAAATAACTAAATCAAACGCAGGGGAAATAATTTCCTACACTAATCTTGGCTTTTCATCTGAAATGCTGTATTAAAACGCGCTGCACCTGTTAAACCTGTTAGACTGACCATCTTTTTTTTCTGTCCTTTCAGGAGGAGCCGAGGTTAGGATCGACTCCTTTAGCCATGTTAGCTGCAACATGTAACAAAATAGGGAGTCCGAGCCCTTCACCGTCTGCAATTTCGGATAACTCCTCATCGTTTGGAAAAGGCTTCCACCCGTGGAAAAGAGCCGCTGCGAGTAGCTGCAGCCTGGGATCCGGCATCTCCAGCTTCGGAGTGTCCCGCAATGGATCCGGCATCTCGGACTCTTTCGGCACCAACAGCTCCACTGGATCCAGTGCTTTTTCCCTCACTTCCGGTACATCGTCTAGTTCACACTTTGGAAACGATTATTCTGTTTTCCAAGCCTCAGTTTCGAGCAACTCTCAAGAGTCCAGCCACCAGCCGGTTTTCATCTCCAAGGTGCACACCTCAGTGGACAGTTTGCAGGGCATCTATCCGAGGATGAGCGTTGCGCATCCCTACGAGTCCTGGTTCAAATCGTCTCATCCCGGCATCCCCACAGGAGATGTCGGAACCACCGGAGCCTCTGCGTGGTGGGATGTGGGAGCGGGATGGATTGATGTTCAAAATCCTAATGGAGCAGCACTACAGACGTCCTTACATTCCGGTGGACTCCAGACCTCCTTGCACTCTCCTCTGGGCGGATATAATTCTGATTACTCGAGTTTAAGTCACTCTGCTTTCAGTACAAGTCCCTCTCCACACCTGTTGACAACCGGCCAGCACCTGATGGACGGTTTCAAACCGGTTTTATCATCTTATCCGGACACAAGCCCCTCTCCATTAACCGGGGCAGGTGGGAATATGCTCTCCGGGGGTCCACCTGCATCTTTAGCGGGGTCTCCGAGGTCATCTGCCCGGAGGTACTCGGGCAGAGCCACCTGCGACTGTCCAAACTGCCAGGAGGCGGAGAGACTCGGA